TTTTAAAGATGACCGGTAAGAGGATCTTAACCCTTGGCTTGGTGTTGTCAGCACCACGCTCTCCCAAGTGAGCAAACCGGCCATCCCTATATGGGATCTGAACCCATGGCCTTGGTGTTGTCAGCACCACACTCACCCGAGTGAACCACATGCTGGCCCAGAAGAAAAAATTTCTGAACTTAAAGATAGTCTTTTCAAAATAACCCAGGCTGTATTTGTATTTGTCCTTTATGTGTTACTTATACCAAAATACCTGTAACTGGGTGATTTATAAAGAAAATGAAATTTACTGCAAGGGCCAGCCCGTGGCTCACTCGAGAGAGTGCGGTGGTGATAACACCAAGGCCACGGGTTCAGATCCTATATAGGGATGGCCAGTTGCTCACTGGCTGAGCATGGTGCTGACAACACCAAGCCAAGGGTTGAGATCACCTTACCAGTCATCTTTAAAAAAAAAAAAAAAAAAATGTACTGCTTATGGTTTCTGAGGCTCAGAAGTCCAAAGTCCATCTGGTGGTGGCAACAGTGAACCAGAGGTCTCATATCACAAGATGGCAGAAGCAGAGAGAGCAAAGTGAGCAAGACAGAGAGAGAGAGACAGACTCTTCTCTTCTTTTAAAGCCCTCAGAATCACGCCCCTGACCAGCAGTTTTAATACATTCACTACAGCATGGTGCTACAATCCAATCACCTCTTCAAGGCTCTACCTTTCCATTACCATAATACGATTTCCCACCCTCTTAACAGTCACAGTGGGGCTAAGTTTCTAATACATAAAACGTGGGGCGGGCCGGCCCGGTGGTGCACTGGATAAGTGCGCTGCTTGGGAAGTGCAGCGGCGCTCCCGCCCGAGGGTTCGGATCCCACATACAGACCGGTTCCCGCTCACTGGCTGAGCGAGGCGCGGGGGCAATGCCGAGGGTTGCGATCCCGTTGCCGGTCCCCGGTCTGGTACGGGGGCAACACTGAGGGTTGCGATCCGTTGCCGGACACGGAAAAAGACAAAAAAGACAAAAAAAAAAAAAAGGTGCAGCATCCCCGGGAGGGGGCGGGGGGGGGGGCCGGCGGCCCCCCCCCCCTGCCCCTGCCTGGGATGCTGCTACATTTTTTTTTTTTTCCTTTTTGTCTTTTTTTCGTGTCCGGCAACG